AACAGGAACTACAAAATTCCTTTTAAAAATTGTTCTGTATAATACTGAAGATGAAATTCACAATGACTCTTTGAAACTTCAATAGCCTCAAATTCATTGTTGTTACCCTATTATGGTTTTATTTGTTGCAGTTCAATGAAGATATTAGCAATTCTCAGACATATGTTTCTACCATTTTGTCCAGAGCATTATGAGTCAAAGTCCTGGAAGACATGCAGCAAAGTCTTGTCTTCTCCCTTTTTGGAGCTGTACTTTAGGGAGAGCAGGAGATGGTGTGAAGATGCTCCAGATGAGGTCGTGGCTGCCAGGAATTATGTACAATATTTCACCCAGATGACTCCAGAGTCTCAAAAGCTTTCAATATGTCATTGCCACACCGTGAGGCAATTAAGAGTAGAAATCAAGCTATCAATTATGGCCTATGGAAATCTAGATTGTGCTTCAGCACTGGGTAGTTAAAAGCCAGTAATTACATTATGCTCCAGCCCTGATTCAGAGTCCCCAGTGCAATGACAAAACCCTGGTAAGTGCTAGGGACAAAGTCAAAGCAAAGTCAACTGAGCTAAACACAGTTTGGCTTCCTTAAAAAAACAATGTAAGTGGTTTGTTTATGTTTCCTCTGCAAGGTCTAGACCTAATTATAACAAGTAATCAAGTGACTGTTTTAAATTGGAAAAGAAGTCTTTGAGTCAAAATAAATTTTGGTTCCCATCTCCATGGGTGGCATAGTAACCTCTTCATCTGTCTGTAGATAAGTTCATTGATGCAAATTTCTCTTTCCCTTTTTGTCAATCAAGTTTAACAATAGTAGTAGTTTTTTTGTGTTAACGTGTGTGGAGTGAATGATAGTGGTAGCCCTTCCCTTATCCCAATTTTGTTCTTCATAAAACATTTCTCAGAGAAAGAATTTCAGAAGAAATGCATATATTTTAAATTGTGTGCTAGGGCAGGGTGATAAAACTTTGAACCATTTTCTCCGTCACTCTGTGGATGTGACCGATTCCTCTGTGCATCAGATCTATATTGTATGATGTATTGTATTAATAAATTATTAATGTAATAATAAACCAATTACTAAACAAACAAAAAATAAATACATGTATGGGTTTTGCCAGCATTTACATCTGTGCACCAAGTGCATGCCTCTTGCCCATAAAGTCTAGAAAAGGAAGCAGATATCCTGGCACTGAAATCACAGATAGTTGTTCGCTTCCATGTGCATGCTAGGAATCAAACCTTAGTCCTCTGCAAGAGTAGCCAGTGCCCTTAACATACTGCACCATTTTTCCAGCCCCAACTGACTCTTATTTTACTTAATAATAGCTCCAAATTCAAGAGTAGCGAGGCTGGCAGCCTTGGTATAGTATGCCATTATAACTTTTATTTTGTCTTAATTACTGTTCTAATGTGGTAACACTCCATCATGGCAAAGCAATTTATTTTTTAAAAAAAGCATATAATTAAGGACTTGCTTACAGTTTCAGAGGGTTAGACTGTGATCACCATGGTGGGAAGCATGGTGGGAGTCAGGTAGCTGAGAGCTTTTATATCTTATCCAGAGGCAGCAGAGAGAGAGAGAGAGAGAGAGAGAGAGAGAGAGAGAGAGAGAGAGACTGAGACTTTTATGGACTTTTGGGATCCCCCAATCTTTCTCAAGTAGTTCCTCCACCTGGGAACCAAACATTCAAATATGTGACCCTATGGGAACTATTTTCATTCAGATCACTACAAATTTTTTAATTGTTTTGGTGATTGCATTAATCAGAGTTCTCTAAGTAACAAAACTTATAAACTAAACCTATATATATATGTTATATAGTAACATACATATTATATTAAAAAAATTTTCAGAGCGCCGTACAGGTATGGCTACTCCTACCATCACATCAGAGAGGTCAATAATCCAGTAACTGTTCAGTCCATGAGACTGGATGTCTCAGCTGGTCTTTAGTTTATGTTGGAGTAACAATGAAGCGGGTTTTAATTCTGTAGAAGGAATGCTTCAACATCGGCATAGATGAACTTACCAGTAAGGGCAATTGGCTAAAAGACAAACTTCCTTCTTCCAAGTCCTTTTATGTGGGGTGCCAGTAGAAGATATGGTCCAGATTGAGGGGTCTTCCTACCCCAAATGATCCAATCAAGAAAAATCCCTCACAAGCATGCTCAGATGCTTTGGTTTTAGTTGTTTCCAGATGTGGCCAAGTTGACAACCAAGGTTAGCTACCAAGTGCTCTTGTACTATGTGCAGTCTATGAGTTAAACCTCCAGGCATTATTGTGGGACGTGTCCTCCTGGGATCACATTGGCTCCTAGAACCATCAGCATCTGTGATTAGCCAAAGGAGAGCTACACAAGAGTTTTCCCATTAGCTTTCTATCGTGGTGGGGGGCTCACGAGGCCACTCCCCTCCTCAGGACATAAAGGTCCTTAAAAGTTGCTGGGCAGAGAGTCTTTTCTTCAGTGGTACAGCCACCATAGGTTACTCATGTTCCTCTAAGTAACTCTTCATCATCTTGCATATTGATTGTTTTAGAAACCCATTGGTGGTTTGTGTGTGTGTGTGTGTGGGAGGGTGGGGGGAGGGATATATCTCAGAATATATCCATCACAGATAATGGGAACTACTGTAATGCCTACAGTACTTCAAACACTATCCTCCACATTAATGTGTTAGGAAATCACTAATAAGTGAGTATATTAATTGGTTAGCGAGTAGGTTAATAAAATTTAAAACCCCCTTCACTCTCATATTTAAAGGAGGATTGTATCAAACATTTCGCTTTGTTTCGTGTGTGAGTACAGAATTAGCTGTCATCTTCATCTGAGGAACTTATTTTCAAAGCTGGATGGATGTTCTCAAACCTAAACTGCTAGAGGATAGGGATAATGAGAAGCTAAATCTCAACTTAATTACTCTCTGTTGGATTCAGTTTACGCCTCTTCCTTATTCAGGCAAGCATGCCTGCCTCCTGGGCCTAGGTTGTCATCCTGGAAAGCCTAATTTTTAATCCTCTAGGCTGTTTAAGCTTCTTCTGGTGGCCAGGGCCGGCCTTCAGCATTTCTACATTACCCTAGGTGCTCCAATGCCTGGCCCAACTTGACCAGAACGAAGATTTCCACCTCCTTAGGATTCACTCAGATGCACATGGGTATCAAGAGACAGGCATGGTCCTAGTCTATCAGTTCTCATCAGGACTAGTTACATTGTCTTCTTCTGTGGCCTGGTAAGGCTGCACCCCCGTCAGGGGGAGGTGATCAAAGAGCAGGCCACTGAGTTCATATCCGAGACAGTCCCTGTTCCTATTACTAGGGAACCTACTTGGGCACTGAGCTGCCACGTGCTACATCTGTGCAGGGGTTCTAGGTTATCTCCGTGAATGGTACTTGGTTGGAGTATCAGTCTCAGAAAAGACCCCAGTGCCCAGATTTTTTTTTCTCCTTGTGGAGTTCCTGTCTCCTCCAGATTTTTCTAACTCTCCCTTCTGTCACAAGATTCCCTGCACTCTGCCCAAAGTTTGGCTGAGTCTCAACCTCTGTGGTAGGCTCCTGTCCTGTTCCCTGTTTTCTCCCTCTTCTGATGTCCATCCCATTTGCCTTTCTGAATGAGAATTGAGCATCTTACCCAGGGTCCTTCTTGCTTTGCTTCTTTAGGTGTAAAGATTTTAGTATCTTTAGTCTCTATTATATGTCTAATATCCACTTATAAGTGAGTATATACCATGTGTGTCTTTCTGCTTCTGGTATACCTCACTCAGGATGATCTTTTCTAGTTCCCACCATTTGCCTGTATATTTCATGATTTCCTTGTTTGTAATTTCTGAGTAGTATTCCATTATGTAAATGTACCACAATTTCTGTATCCATCCTCAACTGAGGGACATCTGGGTTGTTTCCAGATTCTGTCTATTATAAATAAGGCTGCTACAAACATGGTTGGGGGAGGAGCATGGGAGGAGATGAGGGAGGGAGAGTGGGATTGGGAGGGAGCTACAGCTGGGATACAAAGTGAATAAACTGTAATTAATAGAATAACAAAAATTGACAGTTATATGGCTATGTAGGGACTATACATTCTTTTACAAACGTAAAAGTGCATCGCTTACATTTGAGGCCATTTTTATCAATGCAGCTGAGAAAAAAACAAGAAGCCAAAAATATGCCCTAAGTGCATAGACTCTTTGTCGCCGCTTCTTTCCAAATCTTTTCGTGTCTTTTTTTTTTCTACACCTACAATGTTCTTACATACAGTGTCAGTTGTATCAGCCATACTTCTCTGCCCACCAGAAACCTTTACATGCTTTCATTTTCTTGGTAGACATTTACAACCAAGTAAATTATAGTTGCATACATAAAAAAAAAAAAAAAAAAAAAAAAAGGCAGGCATGGGGATGGTGGTAGTTGTGGTCTTAATACCCTCTAGTGGTAGCACAGAAGATGGCAAGAAGCAGAGGGTGAATTGTTTATTATTCTTCTGTAAAAGGCCAAGTGAGTCAATATAGGTTCCCTAGAGAAGGGTGAATGATGAAGAGCAGGCTGGCATTTCTTGCACAACGGTATCGATCTCTGTATTTGTTTCTTGTCTTCGCTTCTTCACCTTCCATTCTCCTCACTCCTGCTTCCCAGAGATGGCTAGACCTGGAAAAGAAGAGGCACAGAAACTGCTCCAGGGTCAGTGTTCTGGGACTAGGACAAGCAGCAGATCAGCCAGCTGGGATTTTGAGGCTTCCTTGCTATCTGAAAGCTGTGGGAAACATATTTCTGTACTGTGGTGGTACTCAGTGACACGAGAAGCAGTGTAGGAGAAAACAGTAGCCAATGAGCTTAGTCAGTGTGGACAATGATGGGTGTCACTTGTAGTAGGATTAGAGGCCTTACCAAAGAAAATTAAAGAAAAATTTAGGACGGTTAACAGCTGCCTGCAGCTACACAATGAAAGCTAACGGGTCTTCATAGTGTTTCACAGGAGATACTCTCAACTGGCAGAGAGCAGAGGGGCTGCAAGGGACATTGGCTGTGCAGTGTGACAAAGTCAGCGCTGTTACAAGAGAAAGGTAGGATGTTTGAGGATGAGGCTTATTTGTTTGAACGAACCTGAGCTGCTAAAATGGTGGAACGGTCTTGGCTGGCAGGAGCAGCAGTTCTTTGCCAGAGAGCAGCAGTAGCCCCTCAGCTGATGGGCTTGCTGTCATTCCTCACCTGAGGCAGAAATCTCATGTGACGATGCCTTCCTTTTTTGGCTGCTCTTTTAAAAAACTGTTAAAAATTATTTTATTAATTACAGCTTATTCATTTTGTATCCCAGCTGTACCATCCTCCCTCATTCCCTCCCAACCCCATCCTCCCTCCCTCTTTCCTCCCATGTCCCTCTCCAAGTCCACTGATGGGGAGGGCCTCCTCCCCTTCGATATGACCCTAGCCTATCAGGTCTCAGCAGGACTGGCTGCGTTGTCTTCCTCTGTGGCTTGGTAAGGCTCCTCTCTCAGGAGGAGGTGATGATGCCTTCTTTGCACAAGGTCTGGCTTCTCCTCTTCACATCTATGGAAGGCCAGCAAACTGTCATGTCTTGGTGCATTTTAAGTAAAGAAGTGCAATCTCTGATAAGCTCAAGTAAGAGAGCTACACAACAAGGGAACTGTCAGACTTTGCTAATTGTCATGAGAGCACTGTGGCAGAAACACAGAAGGACATGTTTGTGCCTTTCCACAGCCAGAATTTGTTGAATAACAACAAGTTCACAAGGTTTTAACAATAGCAATTTATCATTTACCCACATACTTCAGGAGCTTAGTTGCAGTGAAATGAAAGCAGGTTCTTATATTCTAATCTTAGTTACTGATATTAGGTCTTGAACAACACGAAACACATATATATATGTTTCGTATATATATACACATATATATATGTATATGTATATATGTGTGTGTGTGTGTGTGTGTGTTATAGAATGAATATAATATAAAGAGGCTGTGGTAAAGTTCAAGGTATTTCTCTTGATAGTGTTACAATAATTTTTATAAAACTGTGCTTGTTTCTTAGTTTTTCTCTTAACCCGGACATCATACCAATAATCGAGACTTTATTATACAAGAACTGAGCAGTTATTACTCTATTCTTAACCCTCCAGTCTAACTTGGTTTCCTCCCAGCATACATGCCAAAGATATTTGCACTTTATAAATTTCACTGTTCCAGCTCCTCTCTCCTGAAGTTACCTCTACCTCTCCTGTAGCTGAATCCCCTACTTCCTTCTTTAACTTCTCTTCCCCTGACTGGCAGGAATTCCAGCCCTATTCTCTTATCTGCTCAGTGATTGGCTGTATCTGCTTTATTGGCATAGCAGGAGACAATTGGGTAGCAATGTTTACACAACATTAAGACAGGAGATTCTTAGAACAAGGATTGCAATGAGATATTGGGGCATGGAAGCCAACATTTGAGTTACACGATAACCTTCTGCCTACATGATAGGATAATGAACTGGACCCTGTTGGGAGGGAGCTCCTGTTGAAGCTTCTGTAGTTAGGTTAGAGAAAGAAGCTGTTAGAGTTCGGCAGTTAGGTGAAAGGCTGAATCAGGGACAGAGAGCATGAAATGGGTTGGGACAGAGAACAGCAGGTCATATCCAGATCCAGATGAACAAAAAGGTGGACTAATAGGCAGGCAAGCAAGTGGGCTGTAACAACAGTTGGGCACTGAGCTGAGCCAAAGATCCAAAACCAGTCATTCTGGTACTTGATGGGTTTACCAGCATTTGGTGATAGTGTGAAATCATTCCATTGCCCTTGGTCCATCTGTAATGGTGTCTGTCATATTATAGGGTCCAGGTGATGGAATTACACCCTTTCTTTCATCTGGCTTGTTTGACATTTTTGAGCCTGGTTTCCCTGATATGATTGTAATACACTTATGGGTCCCTAAAGTCTCATTTAATCTCAATAAATTTGTAAGTTGCTTCTCTTCCATATCATGGAATAAGTCATTTGTGCAGATGATTTGGTTTCTGTATTTATCCAGGGCCTACAGTCATCTTATCCACTCAAAATGGAGCCAAAAGTTGCTTGTAAAATGGAGTTTCATAGGGTAACATGTAGTCTGAAAAACCACTGTATTTTAGAATGGAGTAATTTAAAGAAGTATATATCCTAATTCCAACACCAATTTTACCCTGAGAAAGCAGAAATTCATGAAAGCAGGTTTTACACGTAAGAGACAGAGAAGAGAATATGGACTGTGCTGAGCAGGGATGAGGTCATCATTAGTTCTGTGAAATACATTGACTTTTTAGGATGTCTTGGTGACATTTGAATGTAATATGGTTTATGGAGAATGAGGCTTAAGTATAAGAACTTCTTTGTCCTATTAAGAATGGAACTGGAAGGCTCAGGGAATTAAGAGCTGAGGGCAAATCACTTGACTGTGTTTTCAGGGAGACCCCACAAAGCAAGAGAGCAAGCAATGTCAGAGCGAGAGAGGGGCTAACATTCCTGAGAAGCTTCATGGTAACTGGTAGCCAGTGACAATGCTAGCAGATTCTGCCATGCAATTGCCGGTGACAGGGATATTTATATAGTGTGAAATTACAAAACAAGAAGGGACACTGTTGGGAGATATTTTGATGCTGGCTCTCAAGATATGTTTACTCCCCAGATATACCTATCCTTGTTGTGTAAACCACCTAAGACATACCCGATTGGTTGATTAAACAGTCTATACCTGGGTAGGGCAGAATGGATTAGGCATGGCTAAGATGTCTGGGCTTTTGAGGACAGGAGAATGGGAAACAGATGGATGGGAAGAGAGAAAGAAGGAGAACGCCAGGATGGGTTAGGTGGAGAAGGAACTACATGGTGAGGAGTTAGGACTCCAAGAAAGGGGTGGAAAGGCCCAGATAAAAAATAAAAGCAAGTATTCATATGATCATTAATGAAAGATAGCCCACATAAAGACGGTTAAGGAGGATAGCATTGGGTGGGGGCAGTGAGGTGAATAAGTTTATTGAGACAGTGTAGGTGAAATATCTGCCTGGTCCAAGGTAAATAAGCCAATTATAAAATCTAACAGGCGTTTGTGTCTTATTATTTGTGGTAGCAGGTTAGATAATACCACCATGATAATCTTAGGGCTAACAACAGACATATAGCCCAAATTTACTACAATTAAATCTTAATGGTGTCCATTAATAACTTGAGGTTGGTTAGGTTACACAGGCCTCTAATTCTTACTACTGAAGAAGTCAGAAAGATTACAAGTTCAAAGTCTGTCTGGGAAATTTAGTGAGAGTTCGTCTGAAAATCAAAAGTGGAAAAAATGGCAGATAGAGCTCAGAGTTGAGTGTTTACTGGGCATGCGTGAAGCTGCAGATTCAATGCTGAGCACTGAAAAGAAAATGCCACCAACAGCACATTAGACAAACAGACCAACTGAGGACCGTTTTCACTGTGGGTGCTCTGTGACACATAGGCTGTGTGTTCTCGAAGCCAGTGCTGATGGTGTTCCCTCAGAACTGGTTTATTCACAAAAGATGAAAGATGGAAGATGGCTGTGGCCCAGAGATGTGTTTGCTGTCCCCTGCAAACATCAGAGCATCGGAGTGTGTGTGCGTGTGTCTTTGATTAAACAAAGGGAGCCTGAGAAGGCACACCTTGGGCTCCTATTGTTCACCCATCTCTGTTTTCTCACACTTATAAGTCCTGAAGCAAAGTCCATGGCCTCAACCTTGGTCAGAGTTGTTCCTCAGGGACAGGTGGCCCTTGCCCTAGAGGTTAACAGGCTGACAGGGTGGCTTCTTCCCTCAGCATGCCTCCTGCAGCTCCTGCTGCTCACCTCTGGGAAGGCCAAAGAGGCCTTTTTGTAGCTGTTCTTTTTTCACTCTGAGTAACTTTGCCGTTGACTTCCACGGGAAGTGTCCTTGACTTCTAAAACACCTTCAAAGACGGCTTTTGAAACAAGCACACAGTGATCTTTTCAGAAGCCCACCAGCCTTTGATTAGCTCTTGCAGACTGTCTAAGAACACGTCTTGTTGCTTCTCTTGTTTCCAGGGAGCCCTTTGTAGTGTCTGGATTTATTTTTATTTTTATTATGTGCTTCACTTCCCCAAGTCAGAACACCCCCTGAAGCCTTGACTTCAGCCTGGGCCTCTGGGTCAGAATGCTTTGATTTTCCCTGCTGTCCTCAGGACTCAGGAGCCTCTTCCCTTTGAAGAGGCTGACTCTGTCCAGGTAGCTGCAAAATACAAAGATCCATGGTGGCACTGATCAGACTGTACCCAGGAAAAGCCCTGGTCTGTATTGGCTCTTACTCTGCACTGTCTGTCTTTGGAATTCTAGGTAAAAATAGGCTCACGTAATGGATTCAATGTGACCTGAAAACATTAACCAAAACTTGTATTTACATGAAGGTCTAGGGTCACGCCTGCTGGATATATGCCTATAAGCAGCTTGCCTTCTGCAGCCTGCTTCCCTTAGTGAACACAGAGCTGGGGCATGTGTGGAATACTGTTTCTGCTTGGTCAACCATGGAGCATGTGCTCTGGCTGGGGATCTGAATCAGCATGCAGTCCTCACGCCCATGTGACTCGAGCTGATGAGACATCGAGCTGATGAGACACCGAGCTTGTAGCTTTTCTGCATGAAGCTGTCTCCCATATAGCCTGATGTTGGTCCAGAATAGTGTTACTTGTGCCATTTAAGTGAGTAGGTGAAGGTGTCACTCTTGGTGATTTGAGATGGTCATCTGCTCTATGTCTTGTTCAGAGTCTTTTGTTGCATGTCTCTTGTGCCTCTGGAATCTGATTGCCACCTTGAACCCTTAGCAACTACTGGGGCAGGCAGTGTAAAGGACTCCTCTGAATACCAGGTATATCAGAGATCAATCTGGAGGTTGAGTACCCTTGAGGTGTCTGGAATCACATTCTACCAACAGCAGGTGGTCTGGTAGGGCAGTGGGAATGGCAAGGGAAAATTTCAGCATGACATCAGTGCATCAGGGTAAAATAGGAGGGACATAAAATGCTATGCGAACTTGATGGCTGTCGGTGCTTAGCTTGTTTTTG